GTCTATACTAAGTAAATGTCTTGGATTAATTAAGAAATCCAAATAAGCATAGGTGTTGGACTACCTTTAGAAGTTATGGAATAACTTTAGTGAGCCGATCAACCGTATTGATATGTCAGTACCTGAACGACATAGGTATCAGTTGAATATGTGTTCGTCTTCTCAAGTGTGGTTCGATGATAATTTTGAAAGTACTCAGCTCAACTCAACTATAGATCACATTCAATACTAAGAATTGGACGTTTGTTCGAAAAATCAACCACGACGACCAAATTGAATGGAACGGAAGTACAACATGTATAAAAAATTCAAGAACGTTTGAATTACTCTAGAAAATCCCGAAGTAACTGTAATGGACTTGAATGCTAAATGAACTTAGTAACCTCGAGGACTAAGGATTAAGTAAGTGATTTAGATGAGTCTGAAAACGTAAGTGAACATACATGATGTAATGTTCTTATGGATCTTGAACTACAAATCAAGCACGTCAGCATTTCATGATATAGTGGAAGCGTGAACATTAAATAAAGACATTGGAAGATTTATTTAGCGATGATTCTGAAGATTATATATGGACTAGAATTTGTGGTATTAAAGTGTAAATACCCTGTAAGGACAATGAATTGACCAGTCGATAAGCATTAATTCTGGGAGATATTTATCTGAAGTTGTTTGATAATGAAATCAATCGACATAGATTGTAAATGTCTTGAATCTTCATTTCTTTCTTATCAACTCAAGTCTCATTCTGAATAATTGATGATTCTGTCAGTTATTGAACTCTTCCAATAATGATTCTAAATTCTGACATTCTATCGGTATACGAAAGATCCGTATTTCTCTGCCTGCTAAGATTATCCAGTACCTCTGAATAATATATGTAAACTCTGGTGTGTTCCCTAATCACATGAATATTTTATATGATTTATGATTTGAATTCTGTTATGATACCTGACATGGATTCTGATCTGATACTTGACCTAAACTATGTTTTGATTTTTGATATATCCATTTACGGATGAAACATGTTTTATTGGGGATATAGTTAGAGGAAGAATACTTGCAGGTTCCTCGTTCTTGTGCTGAGAGCCTTACTGTTTGTGACGGGGTTGAATACTTGCAGGTTCCTCGGCTTTGTGCTGAGAACCTTACTGTTCGTGACGGAGTTGAATACTTGCAGGTTCCTCGGCTTTGTGCTGAGAACCTTACTGTTCATGACGGGGTTGAATACTTGCAGGTTCCTCAGCTTTGTGCTTAGAGCCTTACTGTTCATGACAGGGTTGATTACTTGCAGGTTCCTTGGCTTTGTGCTTAGGGCCTTACTGTTCGTGACGGGGGTTGTATGGTTATGGAGAACCTACACATTTTGTTCGTGACGGATGGGGAAATTACTATAGTTTTTGAATTTAAAAAAATATGTTTTAAAATATCGGTATCTTTTCACTGGTTTTGAGGGAACACACTAGATAACCTATTCTGATCTCCTGAATCTAGACATCCGAAATATTCCCATCTGAAATGAATACTATCTGTTACTACCTGCGATATCAATGGACCTTAGCTCAGCCTAAAAATCTGTAGATTATTGAGCTTTCCGAAGCTCACTCTGTTACTCACCTTTTCAGGTTAAACGAATCGTACCAGTGCGATTATTGACTTCACTAAAAGAATTCTTCCGGCGTTGCTTGCAGAGTATGGTACATGTGATTAGGGGGCATGTAATTGAATTTTGTTTTATGTACGAGTCTGAAAATCTGTTTTATTTATACATACTGATAAATCATTTTATAAGTTTACATGTTATGATAAAAAGTTTTAAATTTTCCGCTATTTTTACGGTGGGTCGCTCCGGTGACCCTAATGTGACTTCCCGGATTGGATCGGGTTACCCGCATCGGTCTGGGGGTTACAATATCAATTTTATTAGATATTTAAATTAAAATAGAGATACATAATTTAAAAAATATATATTTTCTATTTTAATTAAAGTAATGTTTAATATCATTCGAATATTACTAATGATTTTATTAAGAATATTAAAAGATAAATAAATGGAATGATAATAATCCTAATTCTAATCTTAGATAAATAATATTGGTGATCTTGATTCCTCGACGGTTAAATCTAGTTACCCAATAACAAAGGCCTGAATTTACATTTAAAAAACAAAAAGGGTAAATTATACATTTAATACCTAAACTATCAATTTTAGTACGTTTTAGTACCTAAACTATAGTTTTTTTCAAAACAATACCTAAAGTTTTTTGTTTGTTTGTTTCATTCTATTACCCACCATTAAAAACTTTAGTATTTGTTTCATTTTAGTATCCCGTTCAAATTTTAACATTAATTTTTGAAAAAATTGAAAATTTGGCTACTAAAACGGACCAAAACTAATAGTTTAGATACTAAATGCTTTAAGTTTTTAACGGCGGGCACTAAAATGAAATGAAAACTAAATGTTAGGTATAATTTTGAAAAAATTAAAAGTTTAAGTATTAAAACGGGCTGAAACTAATAGTTTAGGTACTAAGGGGGTGTTTGGTTCAAGGAATGTGGGATTCCCATGGGATGGGAATCTCACATTCCCATGTTTGGTTGGCCGGGAATCTCATTCCCGGTAATGTTTTATTACCAATAGTAGATTTTTTGGGGTATATTACCGGGAATGTCATTACCTCCCTTCCCTTAGGTATTGTAACATTACCGACATTTTTGACTAAAATGCCCTTAAATTTTTATTTTTTTTCAAAAATATCATTCTTCTGTCATTGAATAATAAAAATTCTACGAAGGTTAAATTACAAATTTATCCTTAAATTATTTTAGATTTACAAAACAAAATCTATAATTAAAATTTTATATGAAGTTTAGGGGTTGAAATTTTTTTACCTTTTCATTAAACCTTTTTTATATTTTTAATTTTGTAAAAAAATTATATAAATATTATGAATTTAATTTTTTAGAGAAAATATATAAATATTTTACAATTTGTAATATTATACAGATATATAATAAGGACAATTTGATCAAATATACATTCCAATAATCTTTTATTCCTTTAACCAAACACGGTAATCTTACATTCCTGCTAAACCAACCAAACACAAAATGCAACATTCCCAGTAATCCTATTCCTTGGTAATCTTTTATTCCCACTGGTAATCTTACATTCTGTGAACCAAACGCACCCTAAATGCATAATTTATCCAAAATAAAATAAAAAATACCTAAAGGGTATATACGTCAGCCTAAAAAATTGAAGAAGAAGAAAATAAAATTACTCGATGACATAAATATTCTTTCATCAGATCGTGGCGAACCTTATAGAACATTACAAAATGCTATAAGAATTAAATAGTTGAGGGATTCATCTCCAAGAAAATCACCTTTAAAATGAGATCTTTAAAGCATTGGTGTACATTTGCTCTGGTTTTAGGACTGCATTCGATAAAATAACATTTTTGTTGGTGTGTAGTGATGGGTCTAGAAATTTAAAAGTATGTGTTTAAAAATTTTAATACTCTTTTTCTAATAAAATGAGTATGAATTTTATTTTATTTTATTATCTTTCCGTTAATATATTGAACTATATTTAATAACTTATCCAAAATATGGTATCAAATGCATATCCATTATTTTATATGAGATATTAAATATAGTAATATATTAAAAGAAAAAGAATTTTTTATGTACCCATTATATTGAAAAAAAAAAGAATATTAAAATTTTTAGACCCTAATTCTAAATTTCTAAATCCGCCACTTACATCCTCCCTCGGAGAGCCATAATCTCTTCTTGAGTTACAACCCATTCACCGTCCTGAAAATGACACATTTCTAAAAGGACCAAAACTTTATTAAGCAAATCTTTCAAATAAGTTTTCTTCCTCTTTAACTTGTATGTGTAGGTTGTTGTTTCGATTTTGTTTTGTTTTGTTTTGTTTTGTTTTTGTATGGTAATTGCGATACGGGTTGGATTGTACGGTAGAATAAGTTCGTTGGGATGTGGTCTTCTGTCTTGCACTAAGTTTGATGTGTAGTTCTTACGGAGAAGTCAATAAAATTTTGGATACTCTTTTCTTCTTACCCTATTAAGTTTCGGTTCAATGCTATTATGAGAGGATTTTAACGAGGCTCCTATCATCTTTCAAAAAGAAACTTTTAAGACTGATATGTATATCTATAAAAAATATAGGGACCACCAGTATAATTTACCCTTTAATATTTTTAAAAATACCTAACACAAAAATAAATGTCTAAATTACACTTAAAATTAACTTTTAGTGCTTAAATAATTTTCGTTAAAAATAAGTGTCTAATATTTATCCCGTTATACTTTTAGGTATCTACCGTTAAAAAATATTACGTCACACATGCCATGTTTATATTTTTAAATTTTTTAAAATTATTTTTTTTAAATTTAAACATGACATGTGTTATTTAACTATTTTTTTAACTATATATATCTAAAAGTATAACATAAAAAATATTAGGTAAATATTTTTTTTTAAAATTAACATAAAAAATTAATTTTGAATATAACTTAAATATTTATTTTCAGATTAAGCATTTAAAAAGAACAAGAGTGGATCACGTGATTGTCACCTGCTTGTTACGCTTTTACTATTGTTATCCCGACCTCGTTCGATTTTTTTTATTAAATTAAGATAATTATAAAGTAGTGTCTGTTCTATATACTTTCAATCATTTAACAATTAATTTTCAATAATTCTACTATAGTCATTAATTCTCGAACTTACAACTTCTAAAACTAACAACAGTTTCTTTAACTATACAATTGAAATAAATTGATTCGTGTCGTGCCGTTCGTTTTAATCCCGCCTCCAAACTTGTATTCAAATTTATATATAAAAAATATTAAAAAAAACATTATAGAAAAATCCGAAAGTTTTCAAAGGATCCAAAGAGAGGAAGCAAATGGAATGGATGGAAGGAGAAGGAAGCTCCGAGCCGGAGATCCATTTCACGGAGGTCGCCGAGTTCTTGGATAGCTCCGTCGTCCTCCATGTCGTCAAGGAAACCATTGGTTTCATTCTCTACATGCACCAGCAAATCCCTTCGTATGTTCCTTTCTTTACTCCTCAAAGGCGCCTTTAAATTTATAGGTTTTCCAGTATGAAATTTAACGAATGGATCCGTTCTAAATCCATCTTCCCTTGCCTATAATTAATCAGTTTGTAACATCGAAATTCGAAAGGTTTTTTTTTTGGTTTCCTTTAAATATATTTATTTCAATAAGCTATGTTGTATAGGATATACTGATTTCATTGTAATTTATACTTCATATCCAGCATTTTGCAGGATATAAGTCTTGAATTCGACTTATTGCATACTGAATATGAAGAGTTGGTATGTTAACTTCGTTGGTTCATTGATTTGTTTTCTTCTGTTTTTTAGTCATTTTATGATTTTTATTTTGAAAATGTTTTTGTGCCCTAAGAATTGTGAGTTTTAGGAGGAGGATCTTGCGAAAACGGAGATGAAGGCGTGACGAAAGCACATTGGCAGAATGAGAGAAGTCAAACGAGGGATAAAAAAGATGGAGAAGTTCATGAGTACAATTTCAAGTATTCAAACTGCATTGCAATTGATGATAAGAGAAACCCCTAACGTCCAGGAGGTTATTTTGGTCCTTGGGGCAAGTCCAATTCGCCCTCAGCATGTTTACCAGTTGTGTTTTATGCATTCGAATCCTGCTCCGACCGTCGAAGCTAATTTCGTGAAAGGCAAAACAGCGGAAGGGCTTTCAAGGAAGGTACCTAATGGTGCTGTTCTTACTTCAATTATATAGTAGCTCTTTTTTAACCATGTAAGTAGTTTATTTTGTTTAACAGGCTATTAGGGCATTGATTTCAAAAGGTGCAGGTTCCAGTTCCTATCCAGGTAGTTTACTTGAAATATTTGTGTTATTAATGCAATTGAATCTGTGCAAGTTTAGTTGATGGTTCTCTGTTGTCTTTGTTTTATAGGCCTTACTAAGTTGTTTCTGATGGTTAAAGCTCCCACCTCATTCAATTTGCCTATGCATTTTCCTCCAAAACGGGACTTCAGATACAGTAAAAAGGTAAAGATGAAGCTGAAATTATCTATGATATCTTAAAATAAACTATTTGTTTACGTTCTAGCCGTAGCTATATGCATTTTGGTTTCAGCTTTTATTTTGAAAGCCGTGAGCTTAATGCATCTTTCCTTCATCAGATTGTGCCTTTCAGGTTACGGTTTAGATGTAGAACCCAAGGTTTGAAAATGGATGATGATCAGAGTTCACAGTCTGGCAGATCAACAGGGATAGATTCTTCAAATGATCTAATCTGGTACAGGAGTTGCTGTTTTCCATTGCATATAACTTTTTTTTTACTATGAATCATAATTGCTGTCAAGTTTCAAGTGCTGTTTGTACTTCACAATTCAGATTAAACCTTTTATTGGATTATTGGAAAACTAAGACCCCCTCCTGGGTAATAAACCTTGTTGAGAAAATATGAGCTGGGGAAAGTTTAATATATAGGCAAAGTCCAAATGGTCCAATCTTCGAAATAAAATTTTGGAACTCTGTCTAAACTAAGAAGACTGGTTTTGTACTTATAGCCTTTGTCCAAGGCTATGAACACATCCTAAGAATGGTTTGTTTGGCCTCTGGCTACGAAATCTTTTCACCTTGAGTTGGAGAATGTAGTCTTTCACAACTCTCTAGCTATATGTTCAGGTTATACTTTTCTGGTTCAAGCAAGCGGAAGTGATTCCCGCATATGATGCTAAATGATTGTCGATGTTTTATCAATGTTGTCTTACATTTTTTTCGATACAATGTTTAAACTACTCAAACCAATTAGAGGATGTCGTGTGCTTAAGCACACTTGAACCTACTTTCTATCGGATGTTGAAATAGTAACCATACTAACTGATTTAAGACTCAATCAACCATTCATACATTTACAAGAAAACGTGGCAGTTGGTTGGCTTATTGCAACTTGCATAATCTGGAAGGCAGACTCAACATATGATTCAATAAACAACCGAATTACTTCACTCTTTATGAATTGAAGTTGTCCTAACCTTTGCTTATACCTATTTCATTCTTTACAGGTTTCAATGCCGGCATGCAATAAAGGGCATACCATTCAAGACACCAGAAGAAGAATGAAAGGTTCACCTTCTTCTTGCCTTAATGCTGGTTCTGTTTCATTAAGAGGCTTGTTTTACTTTTCTATATGAATGTATGTAAGAGTTCATACATAATAGATTGACAAAGCTGCAAGCTCGATGGTTTTGGTTGTAAATGGCCACCGATTACGGCACTCAGCTTCATTTTTCTAACCTACAATTCGAACTACTTCAACTTATATGTTGTATACTATATTATTGAAACAACTTCATTTTGTAGTTCCCAAGAATCTGCATTATTTGAATACAACTATGCAAGGACTATTTTGGCATCTAGATGCGAAAATACCCTTTTTATGAAAATTTATTATATGGACCCTGCTCATCACCACGTTATTTGTGATCCTAAACAATAACATTTTTGTATCTCATTTTTTCTAAGGTGAATCTTCACTTCTTTCTTATGTGTAACTAAAGAGTGAGGAGTTGTTTGGAAGTTATTTTAAAATTAATGAATGTGATTCACTGGGATTATAAATGACGTGGTAAGTTGGGTGTTGATAAAGAGTAAACAACATATTGGAGAAGAAAAGGAACTCTTTTTATTATATATTGTGAATGGTGAAAATACATCTTTTTATAGGAAAAGTTAGGAGTAAGTTTTCTATTAGAAGTAAACTACTTAGTAGTTATCCTTATCTATCTTTCTAAGAGTTAGTGTTATATTAAAATACTAACTTACTATTGCATAACCTACACTCCCCAAACTCCCCCTCAAGTTGGGGAGTAAATGTTGAAAAGACCCCACTTGGATATAATCTCATCAAAGGTAATTCTTGGAAGTGCTTTGGTGAGAATATCTGCTAACTGATTCTTCGTTGAAACATAATTGAGCTTCATCGTTCCACCATTCACCTTTTCAGAGATGAAATGTCTGTCAATCTCCACATGCTTCGTTCGGTCATGATGAACTGGATTCTTTGCAATACTTATTGCAGATTTACTATCACTTTGAAGTTCAAACCATTTGTTGGCACATAACCCCAGCTCAGTTAACATTCTTTGAAGCCAAATTCCTTCGCAAATTCCAAGTGCCATTGCTCTAAATTATGCTTCTGCACTATTTCGAGACACCACCGCCTGTTTTTTGCTTCTCCAAGTAACCAGATTTCCCCAAACAAATGAACAATAACCAGTTGTAGATCTTCTATCCGTTAATTCACCTACCCAGCTTGAATCCGAAAAAATTCTTACTGTTCTATCATCACTCCTTCTAAAAATTAATCCATGTCCTGGTGTCATTTTCAAGTATCTTAGAATTCTATTCACAGCCTCTAAATGTTCTTCTCTTGGATCATTCATATATTAACTCACTATACTGATAGGGAACACAATATCATGTCTAGTAAGTGATAAATAAATTAGTTTACCTACTAGCCTTTGATATTGTTCTTTGTTCACAGGACTTCCCAATTCTTCTCTCCTTAGCTTCAGATTTGCTTCCATGGGTGTTTCAGCCGGCTTACATCCCTTCATTCCAGTTTCTGATAGTAGATCAATGATATATTTCCTTTGGTTGATCATTATTCCTTCTTTTGACCTTACAACCTCCATGCCTAAAAAATACCGTAAAGTTCCCAAGTCTTTGGTTTCGAACTCCTTCGCCAGTAGCTTTTTCAAGCTTTCTATCTCCATACAATCATCACCTGTTAGAATGATATCATCCACATAGACAATCAAAATTACCTTTTTGTTGTTTGAAGATGTTTTAACAAATAAAGTGTGATCTGATTGACATTGCTTGTAACCATCCTGAATAATCACCTTTGTAAATCTATCAAACCAGGCTCTTGGAGATTGCTTAATTCCATACAAGGACTTTAGTAATCTACATGCTTTTCCTGTATTACTCTTCACACCCGGTGGAATTCGCATATATACTTCCTCCTCCAAGTTTCCGTTTAGAAATGCATTTTTGATGTCTAACTGATGAAGCACCCAATTCTCATTAACTGCTAATGATAGTAACACTCTCACAGTGTTTAGTTTTGCTACCAGAGCAAACGTTTCATTATAATCAACTCCAAAAGATTGAGTGAATATTTTCGCCACTAAACTCGCCTTATATCTTTCAATGCTACCATCACCTTTGTATTTTACCTTGAATACCCATTTGCAGCCAACTGGTTTTTTATCTTTCTGAAGATCAACTATAATCCAAGTATTGTTGTTTTCCAGTGCTTTTAATTCCTATTCTACTGCCTTTTTCCACTTGGGATCTTTCAATGCTTCTTCCACCGTATCTAGAACAGTAATGCTATCTACACTTGCTGTAAAGTTCTTAAAACAAGGCGTTAGCTTTCCATATGCAACAAATCTCTCAATTGGATAATTTCTGCATTTTTTACTCCTTTCCTTTGAGCAATCGGCAAGTCATTATCATCAATTAAAACATTTAATTCAGTGGAAGAACTCTGATTACCTTCTTCATTCTCCAAAGGATTCTCGTTCGGTTCTGATTCATGACAGTGTCCATGCTGTGTGGGAGACTCGAGATTAGGTTCAGGGATTGATTTAGAAATTGGTTTTTATGGTCTCTTGTAAATCTGCAACTCGGATTGAGGTATTTGAGGCAAAGTGATATGTTGATCATGCCGAGGTAAATGTGTTTCGGTGGACTGGTTTGACAATGATACGTTTTCTGGGTTCAGTAGTGTTGTTTGGTCTGGCTGTAGCGATTTTGTAGGCTTATTCGACTGGTTTAGCTGGTTTGACGGTGTTGGTTGATCAAAAAGAGCTGGCTGCAAATCAAGTGACAATTGTTGTGAGTCAATAAACTGATATTCATTATATGACTCCCCCTGAATAGCAGTTTTAAGAAAAAATGTGTTTTTTTCAAAGAAAGTAACATCCATAGTAATGAAGAATTTCTTTGTACGACGATAATAACACCGAAAGCCCTTTTGAGTCTATGAATAACCCAGAAACACATCGAAATGCTCGAGGATCTAATTTAGACCTGAAAGGAACATTGTTATGAATGAACACAGTACAACCAAAAACTCTAATGGGTAACGATGAAGTCATCGGTTTAAAATTGAGAAAAAACTGAAGAAAAACATCTCTCGGACACTTAAATTGTAACGGTTTACTAGGGAGGCGGTTAATCAAATAAGTGGCAGTTAAAAGGGCTTCCCCCCAAAAATAGTTAGGAACATTTGTGAAAAAAAGTAGAGATCGAGTAACCTCAAGAAGATGCCTATTTTTTCGCTCAGCAATCCCATTTTGTTGAGGAGAATTGACACACGAAATAAGATGAATAACCCAAAACATTGGCAAAATGCTCACTACCATTGTCAGAATGAAACATTTGGATTGAACACTGAAATTGGGTTTCAACCATCTTATGGAACCGTTTAAATATTTCACAAGCTTCAAATTTGGTTTTCATGAGAAATGTCAAGGTAATACGAGTGTGATCATCAATAAATGAAATAAACCACCAAAACCCATGTAAAGATGCGACCCGAGATGGTCCCCAAATATCACTATGGATCATGGTAAATGGTTTGGACGGTTTATATGGAGAAGGTATATAAACACTCCTAGTTTGTTTAGCAAGTGGACAAATATCACAAGAAAAAGATTTTGGACTCTTATTGACAAACAAATGTGAAAACAATTTTGCAAGATAAAAGAAACTAGGATGTCCTAAACGAAAATGCAATAACATAACATTGGTTGAAGGTTTAAGTAAAGGAAATTGTTGTATAACATGGTAGCAAGTAGATGGGTAGGAAAATAAAGTTGCTGGAAGTAGGTAAAGACCCCCACAAAGCCTAGCACTGCCAATCACTTTCCCGAGCTAGAATCCTGAAATTCACAAAAATCATAGTTAAATTTCATGATACAGCATAAATCAGCAGACAACTTGCTAATGGAGATAAGATTGCAAGTAAGATTGGGAACATAAAGAACATGAGATAACAAAATGTCCTGATTTATTCGAATAGACCTATGACCGGTAACACCAGATAGAGAACCATCAACTGTTCGAATATGAGAGATAGACGAGTCGACATGAAAAGTGTGAAAGAGCCGAAGATCACATATCATATGATCACTTGCACTAGAATCCACAACCCAAGTAGGAGTGGTAGATGTATTAGCCAAAGTAGCAGAAGGAATTCTACCTGCAGGTACTGATTGGGAATGAGTGTTTAACTGACTAAAAAACTGTTGCATCTCTTCCATTTGTTTTTTAGTAAACGAACTTCCTTGTAAATCAGCATTCACAACACAGTTTTCTTGAGTATCACGTTATTGATGTTGTTTTGAAGACTTCCCATCAGTAGGCTTGCCATGTAATTTCCAATAGGAATCCCGCAGATGGCTAACCTTCTTACAATAGTCACACCAAGGTTTCCCCTTCTTTGGCCGAGTAGTAGTTTGAGAGTGAGGGATATAATTGTCACTATTCAATTGGTGACAAATGATAGAGGCTGAAGAAATATCAGAATGGGGTGAATTAATGAGGATTTCCGAAGTGACCTCCGATGAAGAAGTGTTGGAATTCATGATCGACGACTAGATTTAGGGTAAAAAAAGAAAAAGAAAAAAAATCGGCTAGATTTAGGTGAAGGATTGGTCACCTAGATGATATCATGTTGATAAAGAGTAAACAACAAAGTGGAGAAGAAAAGGAACTCTTTTTATTATATATTGTGAATGGTGAAAATACATCTTTTTATAGGAAAAGTTAGGAGTAAGTTTTCTATTAGAAGTAAACTACTTCGTAGTTATCTTTATCTATCTAACTTTCTAAGAGTTAGTGTTATATTAAAACACTAACTTATCTATTGCATAACCTACACTAGGTTTATGAAATAATTTCTCTTTTTTTATGGTATAAAATAGACTTGTAAAATGGGTGTGCCAGGGTTGAAAATGGACATCTCAGGTTGGTTTTTGGATTAGATTTCAAATTGCATCGATTTGGATTTAAAAATTGACATAATGACAAAATTACCCCTCAACATTTGTATAAATGATC